GATGTGTATAAGAGACAGGTGCTGGGTGGGGGCTCGTCCCCGCCTCTGAGCATCCCGCTTGCCGCGCTGCCCCGGTGACTGCCCTTCAGTAACGCTGGCCTTCAGTTCCCTCGGCTGAGGGACGGAGGGCTGGCGGTCCCGGGTGGGGTGGCTGCGTCCCGCGTGGAGCATCAGTGGCTGCGGGAAGGGAACTGGCAGCTGCCTACCGCAACCCTCCGTGGACCGGCGGGGCTGAAGTGTCACCCGTGGGCTGGATGGGTGAGCGCTGGAGAGGGCATCCCACCGGTGGGCGAGGGGCCAGGAGCTGCTCGCAGGGCTGCTGCCGCGCTGTGACCATGTGCCAGTGCTGGGACGCAGCAGTTCACATCCCCTGGTGAAGGTGTCTCCCCCGGGACCCGGTGGTTTTCTCCCCCGGCACCTCTGGTCCTTCTCTGCGCTGAGGCCAGCGTGTCACCCCTCGCCTGCCCTTCGCCTTGTTCCTCTTCGGTGGCATCGCTGGGCAGTGCCCTGTGGGTCCCCGTCCCCGCTCTTCCTCTGTCCCATGGCAGAGGCCATTGGGGTGCGGAGCCGTTAGTGTCACTCAGGGGTGTGCTGTGGGTGTGGGGTTTGTTTGTTTTGGCTTGCTTCTTTTTTTTTTTTTCCTTTCGTTCTTTCCAGGAAGCACTTAATGTTCTTGTATTTCTGGCTCCCTCTGCTACTTGAGATTTGGCAAAGATGCCAACCAAGAGTGGTTCCTAAATGTCAAACAGGACAAAATGTTTTGGAACCCCTTTAGACCGAGGCTGAAATGTCAGTATTTTGTAGTCGTTGGCTTTCTGGGTCTGTGATGGCTCCTGGCACGTGCGGGCAGCAGCACTCAGCACATGGGCTGCAGCTGTCCTAGGAAGCAGCGTCGCTGCTGCGACACAGGCTGTTGTATCTTAGGAGTTGACTTCAGCACTTTAGAGGCTTGAAGGCCTGGGAGCCAAGGAGAAAGGCCTCCTTGGCATGAGCCTGAGGTGCAGGTGAGGCTGGATCCCCTCGAGGGGACACGTGCTCCCGAACGTTTGCCTTTTCTACTTCGTTATGGCTTCAGAAAGAGTGGGAGAGCTGGATGGTAGGGTGCCCAAGAGAGGAGATGCTGGCGGAAATGGGCTTTGAGAAGTTCCTCCCTGCTAGCAGAGGTGGAAAATGGCACCTGTGTCTTGTATATGAGGGCAGGTAGGACTTGCCTGTGGAGTGCTGGATGAGTGCACACGTGCTCTGCATCGGACCTCGCTGGGGCTCTGAGCAGAGAGGCTGCTTGCACAGGTCTTGGGGGATGAGGTGCCCTCCCTGTGGGGTCCTGGCAGGCACTAGGAATGGGAAGAAGCAAAAAGAAAACCAGGGAAGGATAGAAAGAGGAGCTGCTGTCCTGCCTTGCCTCTGAGCACCTGTGCCTGGCGCAGCGCCTGTCACCGTGGCTGCATGCCATTGAGGAGCAGGAGGAGGAGGAGGCTGCTCCCTGTGATGGTGCCTCTGGGCTCTTTGTGAGGTCCCTTCCCCTTGAGCATTTCTCCCACTGACCTTTGCCTGCTGCTATCACCAGGGCTTGGGTTTGACAATTCTCCCTCCTCACACCCCACACAACAAAGCCTTGATATTCCTCACCTGAAAATACAAAAACTTGCATGATGGCATTTTTCTGCTCTGACTGCTCAAAGGGAAGCGCCAGGGCCACACAGTGGCTTTGAAAAGCCTCCAAGCTTTCCCTGTGGCCATGTTCCCCTCGGCTCATCTGGGCCTGCAGCACGTGTGTCCTGTGCAGGGAGGTGTCTGTACTTTAACCCTGCAGCTGGAAGTTGTGCAGGATCAGGGCACTAAAGTGCCAGGCCAGAGGGAAGAATGGAGCTGGGGGTAGTTTTTGCAGATGTCTGGGCTGGAACCTGTGGCCAAGCATCCCTGGGCTCTGCCGATAGCCCAGTGGAGCTGGCCTCGCCCTGGCCAGGCAGGTTTGCATGCTGGAGAGAGCAGGACAAGTGCACAAAGCTTTATGTGTGCTTGGATTGCTTTCCGATGCAGCTCCCCTCTCTACCAGCACCTTCTCCCCTTACACTGTCTCCTGGTGCTGAGAAATCAACTGCAGACTCACCGTCTTGCTGGCTCCACTGGGTATACTTGCAGGTGCACCACGCCAGCATGTGCCAGCGCTGGGGATCCCCAGTGCAGGCAGGCACCTGACCTCAGCTTAATGGTCTGCGGCCCACGCGTGCTCAGGCGTGCAGGGCTGTATCCTGCTCCTGGCACCGAGCTCACCCCACGGTGCAGGATCAGGCCCAGCTCCAGGGGCACCCACACCCTGGGAAGGGAAGAGCAGCAGGAGGGTGGAGCGGTGTTTTTATTGAGTTGCTGAGTGGGAATAGCAAACGTCCTGCCCCTCCTGGCACGTGGCACAGCATTGCAGTGGCACTTGTGGCAAGAGGCGCCAGGTCACTTGTTGCATATTTTTCAGTCTTGATAAGTGTGTCCTGAATGTGTCTGGCACCTGGGTCCTGTGGGAATGCCGGGGAGGTGGGGGTCAGCCATGGCTCACCTCCCTGTCATGCTGTGGGCAAACTTCCCAGGCAAGTTTCAGCTGTGCAGGAGATCTTCCAGGATGTGGAGGCAAGGTAGATGTGAACCAGGGAGCAAAGGCAGGAGCACTGATTGCTGAGGATTATCTGCCAATTATCTGATTGTCTCAGAGGCTGCTCCAGCATGCAGATAAGGGGGGGCTGGTGGCAGCTGGGAGCATGGGATGCTCCATGTGCCTCCACTGTGCTGGGAGGGGGGTAGTGGCTTTGTTTTTGGGGCTGGCTGCTCCTCCTCCCTGTGCCCTCCCACAGTCAGAGTGAGCACAGGTTGGTGGTTCCTTGGGAGACCCTTCCTAGGACAGGATTGTATTTGCTGTCTGGGGCATAAAGCCAGAGCAGACCCTGTGTCCTTCGGTTTGCTACATGAAGCCTGGCTTGTGCTTCTTGTGTCAGCGGGCTTTTCCCAGCCCCTCCAGGCAATGTGGCCACTCCAGAAAAATCTGGAAAGTTCTCTTCCATGGAGTGCCCTGACAGAGGTGGTGGCATCTGAGATGTCACTCTGCCCTTGGGTTGCATGCAGGGGATGCAGTTGCTGACAAGGCAGTGGTACCCAAAGGTTGCCCTCCTGACATCCCCACCCTGATGCCAGTGGTGGCTAAACCTGCTTTTGCCCTTCACTGCCTGCCTGATCCCAAGCAGTCTGTCATTTATGCCAAGCTTCTCGAGGAGAAGGGTGTTGCAGAAGGGATGCAAGCCCATGTGGCAGGGAGCAGCAGTCCTCTCAGTGTGGAGTGTGCACTGAGTCTGTACCCTCAGTAGGGTTTGGGATGACTCGGCTGGGGATGGGGATTGTAGTGCACAACTCAGCAGCTTTCCGGGAGAAATAGCTCTTCCGTACCAAAGAGGGTTTGCAGAGCAGCTGCAGATGGATGGATGGATTCTCCTGTGGGATATAAGAGCTCACGGGCATCCTGGGGCAGAGTGAGCTGTGCTGCAGATGTTGTCGTCCACCCTGGTGTGGGGTGAGAGGTGCAGAGCAGGATGAAGCTCACATCCCTCTGCTGGGAGCTCCGTAAAACCCTGGTGCTGGTCAACAAGTGCAAAAGTGCTACTTGGTGTCAGACTTCAGTTTTGTTCTAAAATAAGCCTTGCCCATGCCTGGCTGCTTCTGCATTTCCCTCTGCTAGCAGGAAGGCAGGTGGGTGCAGTGAGTACCCCTTGCATGGGGCAGCCAGGGTTGGTGGGGGTCTGGTGACCCCCCCCACCTTAAGCAGCAGACTCTGCCTGGCATGCAGCACCTCTCGATGTCCCAGGGAAGGGGCTTCACGTGGAGTTGTGTGTTGCTTGGCAGTTTTTGTGTGTATCCCCTTTTTTGGTCTTTAAGTAAAAACGCATCTTTGGCAGCTGAGTGCGGGAGGGGGATGCCCAGGTAGGTCTGGCTGGAGAGTCAGGAAATGCCCAGCTGCAGCTGCATAACCCCGGCCCCACGTGGGTCTGCACTGAGTGGCCTCTCTCCTTGTGCAGTGAGGGGCTGGCTCTCAAGCCCAGCCCGCAGTGCATTTCTTAGCAGCAAGTTGCTCCTGCTGCCCCTGTGCCATGCAGCTCTGCAGGCCAGGCAGCAGCCTGCACAATCGCCCACGCTGTTGGGGCTCTGCTCTGCAGTGAGTGCTTGCCTCTGCTGCTGTGCCCCGGTTCACAGAAAAAAACCCAAACCACATCTAAACTGCTGGGTTGTGGAGAGTGATTTCTAGGCAAGTCTTACAGGAGAGATGAGACTGGTGCCCTCTCACTGGGACATGGAGATGTAACCGTAAGGTGTGCCCAGGGCACAAATTAAAGGGTATCGGGTGAGAACTGCCGGGGTGGGCTGTGGTGATGCTGGCAGCTTCTGGGGTGCCATGGCGCTGCAGTTGCTTGCTGCCTGGCAAACTTTCCCCAGTCAGTCCTGGGTAAGCAGGGCCGGTGCCTCCACCCTCTGCTTGTCGGCCCGACCTTTACACCCGGCTGAAGGTCAGGCTGGCACGGCAGCGGGCACTGGGGTGGTGGCTGCTCCTGTCCAGCTCCGTGGCAGAGGGGTGGTGGTGGCTTCTGGAGGGTCCTCTGGTTCCTCCTGTGGGTCTCTGCTGCTGGGATGTGGGAGTGAAAGGTGAATTCCTCCTCTCTGCTCCCCTTCCGTGGGTAGGGGCTGTGCTCTGCCTCCCCCCTTGCCCATGCCTGCTGGGGAAAGGGACTCTGCTGCCTGCAGAGCGGTGGGTGGGGACCCCCCTGATGACTGCGGTCCTGCCTTGCTGATCCAGCTGGTGGGTGAGGGTCTCCTGGAGGGGCTCTTTTTCTTGGCACAGTTTGAACTGCTCTGTTGGTCACTGGCTTGCCAAGCCTTGCCCAGCCATTCCCTCGCTGAGCTGCAGCTCAGTCAGTAGTGGTGGTCTCGGCAGCCCTTGCCTGAGCTGTCTGTGCAGGAGTCTGGGAGCAGCCAGTGCCCTGCCAGCTCCAGGTGCCCTGCCTGGACTCCCACAAGGTGCTGCAGCCTCTTCAGCTTCGTCCTCCCTCGGGTACGGGGATGGACAGGCTCGTGGGCAAGATGCCCCATGGACAGACTGTCATTGCCTCTTTTGGTGCTTACCACTTGAGCCCTGCCTGATGCAGGGGGGGGCGCAGCTTGGGAGCAGCTCCTGCCTGCACTGACCACCTCTCTCCCCACAGAGTACAGCCGCTTCGAGTCAAAGATCCACGACCTGAGAGAGCAGATGATGAACAGCAGCATGAGCTCTGGCTCCGGCTCGCTCCGGACAAGCGAGAAGAGATCTCTCTATGTCAGGTAAGGCTCAGCCCCTGCTGCTCCAGGCAGCCAGAGGTGGGTGGGATGGGTATATCCCCACAGCGTGGGATGCAGGGTGGGACGGTTCAGCCTGGGCTGTGCAGCACCTCTGTGGACAGTTGTTTCGGAAGCTGGGAAAGTGAGCGTGATAGACATATTGTGAAGCACAGAGGGTGCGGTAGGGAAAGGAGTGCTTTTGCGCTGGTTCACCGGGACTGGGTGCTCTGCAGTTGAGTGCCTTTTCCAAGGGCTGTTCTGCTTTGGAAAGTACTGCTGTCTCTACAGAGCCCTGGGTGGCTGCTGGCCAGGCCAACCCGCTGGGGACTACTGGGAAACATGGGCATCTAGCTCTGCTTCTGCCTCGCTCAGCTTGAGGAAGCATTCAGGGTGCTTTCCTCAAACCACTCCCTGCTAACAGGCTTCTCCCTGTCTCCTCCCACCATTCCTGTGGCAGGATCTGGCTGGAGGGAAGATGAACTCTTAGGAGGATTACTGCTCTGAGCCCTTGATGCGCTTTTGGTGCGGAGCCAGGCGCGGGGCAGGCAGGGGTTAAGCAGCCATGCAGCTCTAATTGTGCAAGTTCTGTGCAGCCGGGGCAGTCCCTGCTCACTGCCTGCCTCCTGCCACCTCCTGCCCACCACAGCGCGAGTGGAGTGACAACCAATGAGTAATTTTAACTTGGTAATTAAAATAATCTTGTAAGTCCTCGCCCTGTGCTGCTTGTTGCAGTTGGGGGCTGGGAGGAGCAGGGGATGCTTCTTGCCCATGGGAAGGATGACAAGGGCCGAGGCTGCATCAGCATCAGCCTGCCTCTCCCACTGCACGGCTGCTCCATGCAGAGGGGCTTCAGGTTGTTGCTGGACCTGGTGTAAGCCTAGCCTGGCAGGAGGGGAGAGCTGCAGCTCTTGAGTTCCTGCAGTTCCAACCTTCCAATGAGGCTATGCAGGCATCTTGCTAGATTTAGCATCTCGGGACTCTGTGCTGGGGGTATGCAACAAACCAGGCACTGTGTTGAATAAACATCTTGCTAGTCCTGCCTTTACTTCCCTGCTGTTTATGGACACCTTTGTGAATGGAGCAGAGTTTAGGCTGGATCCAGCTTGAGTTGAGCCTATGAGTCTCGTGTACCCTGCCTGAACAGGTGCTGCATGTATTAGGGTATGCCTGCAAGCCATTGCCTCCAGGCTGCCTGTAGCGTCTCGCATCTCTTGATGTGTCCCTCCATGTGGCTTTGGTGGCCTCCACAGCGCTGTGTCCCCTCACATACACCCAGGTGGCTTTGGATGGGAGCTGGGCAGCACCTTACTGAGAGGGTGATCCCAGGGGAGAGCTTCCCCAAGCATGTCCCTTTCCAACCCTCCCTGGCTCTGGCGGCCATGCACCCCGCAAAAGTGCTTGCGAGAGCCGCCAGTCACCCAGACTGCCCCAGCCCTTCTGGGCGGGGTAGTTTCGAGCACAGTTTACCCGAAACCAGCTGAGCTGCTGTGCTGTGGACAGGACATCAATTACAGGACTTGCTACCCAACTGCTTGAGTCAGCCTCGTGAGGCTGTGTTGCACCCCATGTACTGTTGACAGGGCTGGATCCTGACACCTGAGTGCCTGCCGGAGCTGATTTAGGGGTGCCAGGTGCTCCCCACGTGTTTCGGAGCCACAGTCGCACAGCATGGGCAGGAGTGAGGCAGGTCCACACGTTGCCTGCCTGCCTCCTGCCTGCGCTGTCGCTGGGCAAAGTCCACTGGCACCAGGGCTGTGCCGGGCAGGGATGGGGGACGGTGGGCGTTGTGCCTGGGCACCAGGAGGAGGCCACACTGAGTTCCTGGCACTGCTCCTCTGTCCTCTGGCCAAACCATCTGCTCTCCGGGCTGCTCGTGAGCCAGGGCCGAGCAGAGCCACCACGCTGCCGTCCAGCCCCTGAGCCCTGTGCACCCCGGGGAGCCCCCAGTCATGGTGGGTCCTGGGTGCTGATGTGGCCAGGCGCTGGTCTCCGGGAGCATCGTGCCTTGGGGAAGCAAATGCCTCATGTCTCTGCCTCGCCGTGTCCAGCCCTTGCACAGGCCTTGCTGTGCCTGCCCCGGGATGCCGGTGGCTGCGGCAGGAGGAGCCGCGGGGCCAGCGCTGCTCTGCAGGGCAGGGTGCGGGCTGTGGGCAGGGCAGCCTGCAGCCCGCTGCTGTTCTGGAACCGGCCTGACCAGTTCCCCGGGGGCCTTGGCTCTTGTTTTGCTCCCGATGGCATCGCAGGGGCCTGCCGGCCACGCACAGCCTTATCTTTTGGCCTTTTGGCCGGGAGCTGCCTGCAAGGGTTGCTTACCTCCAGCAAAAGCACCCTGTGGTGCTTTGCTGCTGGCTCCAGTGTGCCGGGGGCTACGTTTGGGTGCAGAGGGACCGAGCACAAGAGCTGCCCCGGGACTGAGCAAGCCGGCAATGGGGGAGCAAGTTGGTGGTTGGGTGTACCTGGGCGTGTAGGGCTGCACCGGGTCTTGTCCTGGAGGGGACTTCCCAGTTCACGGAGCAGTCCCTCCTCCCCATTTGAGACCAGATGCCTTGATCCAGTCCCAAGTGACCTGAAAAGTTTTATTGCCCAGTGCTCCCCTGGCAGCAGTGGAGCAGGGATCTGGCTGAAGTGCCCTCCCAGCCCTGCAGCTCCACAGGGACCTGCGGCATGGTCTCTCGGCCCTCTCGTTTGCACCGTGTGCTTTCTGAGTCCCCACAGTGGAAGAGGGTAATAAGCAGGGCAGAGAGCATGTCTCCTGGTTGAGGAAGAGGCTTGTTAATTCCAGGATTAAACCAGCAGCAAGCCAGTGTTTGTAGTACTTGGGCTCATGTCAGGCTGGGGGGTGAGCGAAGCTGCCAGTGTCTCAGGAGTGAACACAGAGGTTGTGTGTCGGTGCTTTTAGTGACTGTTCCCATGGTTTGGTTTGGTTTGTCACAGACAAGCAGACATGGTTTGAGATCTGACATTAGTTGCACATGAAACCACTGAGAGCAGCTTGTGGGTATGGTCTGCAGTGCTGTGTGCAAGAAAAGTGGGTGCAGGAAGGGTATTAGTGCTCCTCTAGTTAAAAAAATAAAAAATCAAAAAATCTTTTCTGTACCTGGTTAGTTTAATACTGAAGATAATTTTAAACTAAATCAAATGTTCTCAGGGGAAGCGTTTGAGCGTTTGAAAAGGATCGGTTGTGGAAGCAGATATAGTTATTCTCAGATGCGTTCCTAATTCACAGGCTCTGGACTAATGTACCCCTGGACATAACTAAAGCGTGTGCTCAGTGCCCTGTGGTCTCTGCCTGTGTGACTGCCCACCAGCAGTGGGGTCTGATGTTCCCCATCCTGCTCCTTGGCCCCGCAGCCCCTGGGGAGGGATGGTGGCGAGTAGCTTTGCACCCCATCTCCCTGCTGCCCTCGTGCACGCTGCTGCTTTGTTGAGGCCTTGTGAGGTTCACCTGCTTGCTAACCACAGGCCTCTTCAGTGCGTCTGTGGTTTATGTGCCTCTTGCAGCTGAGGTCAAGAGCGAGTTGGTTTGGTCCAGCACTGTTATTCCTGTGTTGCGTGCTTTGGGGCTTGTGCTGAGCCCGCCAGTGGGAGCTGTGTGCTGGTGGTTCTGGGGTGCCGCTTGCCTCAGCAGGAGGCTTCCCCAAAGTTTGGGTTTAAATCCCTTAAGGTATGAAGGTGGCAGTGCCCCAGGAGGTTGGCTGTGCTGCTGCCCTCACTGCCTGGCCATCCTTAGGGAAGGCATCGCTCCTCTCTCTGCTCCTCCGCAGAGCCCTGTTTGACTACGACCGGACCCGGGACAGTTGCTTGCCCAGCCAGGGGCTCAGCTTCTCCTACGGGGACATCCTGCATGTCATCAATGCCTCTGACGATGAGTGGTGGCAAGCCAGGCTTGTGACGCCCCACGGCGAGAGCGAGCAGATTGGAGTCATCCCCAGCAAGAAAAGGTGAGTGTCCATCAGCAGGAGCTGTCACACGTGGTGCCTCCTTGGAGCTCCCCAGCCTCTGTGAGCCTTGCAGCCCTTGGGGGTCTGCTCAGAGTGGGATCTTCTTGAGGTTCCACCTCACCTGCCCCTCCGTGGCTGTGTGGCATGAAGGACACAGCAGTTGCAAGCTGGACCTGTGTGCATGTCTCCCTGGGGAGATGTTCTCCAAAGCTGGGTGAAACTCCCAAGTGAGGAGGGGAGCACTTGGACCCCTCTGGGGTTCCTGTGGGGATGGAGAGCTGGTGTTAGCCAGTCTGGAGCTCTGGGTGAGAGCAGAACCACAGCAGTGACTGCAGGCTGCTCCTTGTGTCCTCTGACAACCTCTGCAAGCCAGGTTCCATGAGGTGGGAAGTCACAGGGAGCAGAGGAGCTGGCTGCCACTGCCTTCAGGTCGGCAGAGCCAGGCCTGTATCTGCCCCCCACCCCTCCTGGGAAGGTTGGCTTTTCCCCTCTCCTGCTCCTGCAGATGCTGGCCTTGGCCAGACCCTGGTCAGGTGGTTCCACCTCTGTCCCTCTCTGGGAAGGAGCTGCCCTTTGCCAATGGGGCCACCACCCAAGGGTGCATGGAGCCACCTGGGGAGGCTATCAGGTGGCATGATGGGCATGTGTACAGGACTAGCAGCTCTTTCTCCCCCTTTAACTTCCAATCAGGGTGGAAAAGAAGGAGAGAGCACGGTTGAAAACAGTGAAGTTCCATGCCAGGACTGGAATGATTGAGTCCAACAGGGTAAGTGCCGAGCTGGGGCTCAGCAGGGCACCATGACCCAGTAGCTAGCAGGGGCAGGATGAATCCCAGCAGCCTGGTGGGGCGGCTGGAGCAATCCCAAAGCAAAGGACAGTGTGACTGGATCTGCCCCAGGCCCTCATCTGCTCGGCACCAATCCTCCGTGACTGTGCAGGGGGTGAGCAGAGGAGCCTGGGATGGTGCAAAAGTGCTGGGGAAGGACCCCTGGTTGGACTGGTCGGGGAGCAGAGAGTGTCTCACCATGGCCCGTGGCTGGGAGCTGACTGCAGGCAGCTCATGCAGGTGAAGGTGGCTGCCCTCACCCCTGCGTGGAGTGCTTAGTGAGCAGATGAGGAAGGGAGAACAGCCTGGCAACCCCTGCAGAGCTGCTGATTGCCCCGTCAGCTTCCCAGCATTCCTACCACATGTTTTTCTCCACGTTTAATTTTTTTCCTGCATTACAGTTTCCATGTAATCTCCATGATTTCATTTGAGGGTAACTGCCCTGACACAGCTCCTCATTGTCTCTTCATTTTAATTTTTCCCACATACGTTAAATGCCATTGTTTTTTCTGTCCTCCCTTCCATCTCCATGTTCTTCAGTCGATCAAAACGAAACGTAAAAAGAGTTTCCGCCTCTCTCGAAAGTTTCCATTTTACAAGAGCAAAGAAAACCTGGCCCAGGAGAGCAGCGGACAGGAACGTAAGTAGCAGCTGGCCAGAGAGGGCAGGCGTGCAACCCTCAGGTCCCCTGCCTTGGGGGGAGAGATTGAGCACATTTCTGTAGCCAGGGGTCCTGGTGTCTGCCCGTGGTCGGGTCTGTGCTCCACAGTCGTGCCAGCAGCTAGGGAGAAACCAGAGCTTGAAATGAAAGCAACGGCTGCGGGCTGGTGTTCTCTTTCTCTTTCTCATGTTTAATGTCTTCATCCTTTCATCCAACTTTACACTCACCTGACCCCCTGCTCTCCCTCCTGCTACTCTCCCCTCCCTGCTGCAGGCTCTGCTCCCTCCCTCCACCTGCCTAGGGCTGCTCCCCTCCAAGTGAGGGGCTGGCCACCTCCTGCAGAACTTTTCCTGTCCCAGTCAGGGCTGAGGGGCTGGGGAGGTCCTGGCTACGCTCCCCGTCTCCCCTAGAAGTGACTCACAACTATGTATTCCTGTCTGAGAATCCTTCCCACAGGTTAAACCCTGTGGGTATGGGAGACCCAAGCCCTCGCTGGTGGAGGAGCTGCCCACCCACGACTGAGGCACATGGTAGTTGGCTGCAGATGTTGGGGGTTCCCCAGCTCTCACCTGGCAGCACCCCGGGGCTCCCAGTGAAGGCAGGGCATGCAGCTTGTTGCCCCAAATTCTGATGCTGGCGCTTGCCAAACCCAGCCCCTCCTCCTTTCAGATGCTTAACTGCATCTGCTCCTTCTTCTGCAAGTGTCCAGACAGAGAGCCTCAGTCCTCGATCCTCAGGGAAGAGGAGGTGGGGGAGGCAGAACCGTGTCTCTGCCCCAGTGCCAGCGCGGCGCGTGTGTCCCCTCCCCTCCAGTGGCGCTCTTGGGTGTGACACAGAGGCAGGAGGTTGATGCTGGGAGCTGCCCATATCCCTCTGCTGCCCTTGCCAGGCTGGCGCCAACTTCCAGTGAGCTTAGCAGCCAGCGTGAGCCTCTGGCCTGTGGTGAAGGTTAAATCTGGGGTCTTCTGTAGTGCCTGGACACAGCTGGGCTCCAGTCAGCTCCATGCTGGAGCTGGGGACTTGCTGGGGCACGGGGATGGGACAGGCAACTCTTCGCCAGCCCATGTCACAGACCCACAGCCAGCTCCCTGTGTTCGGCTGCTGTCCGTCCCAGCTTGCAGTGGGGGGTCCTTCCCACGTGTTTCCACAGCCCATGCAAGCACTGGGGCGTGGGCAGCTAACACATGCCAGTGGGGAAAAATGTGTCCCTCTGCCACGTGTTGGAGGACTGGCTGTGCTGTGTCTTCCCCCGGAGCGGCCAAGCTGTTCCAGAGGCCTGCAGAGCCGCCATGCCCTGTCAGTACACCCCGTCGGGCACCGCGGAGAAACACCTCGGCCCTGCTTGCCAGTAGCTCAGGGCTGCAACCACTCGGTGCCAGCACATGCTGCCGTGGCCGCCCTGCCCTCCCCAGACCCAGGGTGGCCCTTGGGGGCTCTTTGGCAGAGAGGAGGAGCTTGGGGGGGTGGGATTCAGCAGCACAAGGCGAGAGCCATTAGCAGCGGGCTGATGGTGTCAGCTCTGAAAACATTTAACCTCACTTGCAGTTGCAGCTCTGGGCCGTTCTGCACTCCTGTCACTAATGCTGATCTGGCTCTGTCTCCCCCATCCCTCTGACTGCCCTCTCCCGCGCTCTCTTCTCTCCCCCTCTTCCCCTTCTCGCTGTCTGTGAAATCAGGACTTCCCTGGGTTAAGTGACGATTATTATGGAGCAAAGAACCTGAGTAAGTCGAATTTCAATGCGCATTGTTCACTTTCCATCGCTGGCATGCCTGGTGGTGCCTGGGGAGCGGCCGGGCTCCAGCTGGGGCAGCTGCGCTTCTCTGGGTGCGGGGAAGGAGCCCTGCAAGCGCTGCCCCTCTGCTGGGGAATGCCGGGCTTGGGAAGGCGCTGCTGCTGCACGCGGGAGGGGATGGGGGAGTTTGCTTGGGGATGTTGGCCATGCCCTAAGCGCGTCCAGCTGAGTGCTGCCTGCTGTACCCAGGGTGAGCTGTGCCTCCTCATCCTCCTTTTCCTCCTGCTCCTAGCTGGGCTGGCTGCTGGTTTAGCGCTTGGAGACTCAGAGCCACTGCCAGTGCAGGTGGGAGGTGACCATAACCATGACGGGTCTGCTCTGAGTGGGGCGAGTGACAGTGTTTTGAAGTGTTGCCACCTTCCCTGGGGCACCACGTATCCAGAGCTGAAAAACAATGATGGCAGCCCCTCATCTCTCCCTTGCTGAGCTCCACACACCCCCAACTAGTGCAGAGCCTGACTGGGGGGCAGACAGCAGCCAGCAAGCCTCTGTGGGGCAGTCACAGCACTGGGATTAGCATAAGCAAGCAAAGCCCCAAACTCTGTCCCATCCTGTCACTGTCTTGTCTTCGTGGGTGCCAGTCCCATCCCCAGAGATAGGGTCCCCCATCCCCGTGCTGGTGTGGAGCTGGGCCCTCCCCTGACCCCCATGTGCATGCTGCGCCCGCGCCCCCCGCCAGCACCCTCCTCCTTACGCACTCCACCTTCCCTCCCTCAGCCTGGGAAGCCCAGCACCTGCACACGTCTGCCCATGCTGGCCAGGCAGCCCCCTCCTGGCATCCCTGCCTTCTCCCGGAGTAGCCAAGTGTTCCCCTGCACGTCCCCAGTTTCCCAGCAAAGGCGAGAGATGCTGCCCTGCCCATGCGGTGCAGGCTCCTCCCAGCAGGTGCTGGGGAGTGGGTTTTTCGGGAGGTTGGTACTGCCCTGCCCTGGGTCAGTAGTGCTGGGTTACAGCCAAGGTGCCCCTGTGCCTTCTGCCCGTGCTCCTTCTGAAGTGGGTCTCTCTGGTTGCTTTGCAGAGGGTGTGACATCAAACACCAGTGACAGCGAGAGCAGTTCCAGTAAGTGTGCATCTCACCTGTACACCCACCCCTGTGCACGTGTATTTGTGTGTGTGTGTGTGTGCACATTTTGGCAATTCCATCTTGTGTTGTCCTGGTGGTGGTTCTGTTCAGAGGCTGGTCCTCCCTGCTGGTGACACCAACATGCTGTGCCAGCTCTTTCCTCAATGGTGGGAAGAGCAGGGGCTGGAGGGCAGGAGCGAGCCTGGCTGCTTCCTTGCCCTTTCCTGGCTGCAGGGCTCTGTTCCAGGGCTGGGTGGTGGATTCTCAGTCCATGGTGGTCCCCCATCCTCGGTGTCTGCTGCCAGAGGCCATGTCTGTAGCATAGGTGGCTCCTGGAGCCCAAGCCTGTACAACAGCGTGGGGGTCCAGCTGCAGCGAGTTATCCCTCTATCCCCAGTGGGTCCTCTAAATATCTGCAGCACATCTGCCATCCACCCTGCAGGGAGGACGGTGCGTCCCAATGGGCCCCAAGCCTGCAGCAGCGGGGAGAGAAAGAGGACACTTGACCCAGAGCTGGGATGTGAATAATTAACGTGGATCAAGGGCTGGTAACTGCATGCCCGTCACGCTCCACGTCAGCTGGCGGCGTGGTGGGGACAGCCTGGAGGTGTTCCCAGGGCTGCGGGAGGCTGGCCAGGCTGGGAGCCAGCTCCTGGTGGGTGTGGAGGGGCTGGAAAGCTGCGAGCTCACCTGCCTTTCCCTGGCTCTGTTGCAGAAGGACAAGAGGACACCATCCTGTCGTACGAGCCAGTGACACGGCAAGAAAGTAAGTCCTGGTGCTGAACTGCCCCATGCCTGCTCCAGCGTGGGCACCTGTGTCCCCAGCACAGCCAGGGTGACTGGCGTGACCTCCTCCCGTCTGCCGTACCAGCTCAATGCCGGGTGAACACAAGTGGAGTTTCTTGTCTGTTGTGTGCAGCAGGGGAGCCAGCCTTTCATGCTGCCTCACAGGGCTTCCCCTGGCCTTGATTGTCCCTTTTTAATTAATAGAAAAGACTTCTGACCTGGTCTGCAAGACCAAGGGAGAGATCCAGAGCTAAAACTGAGCTGGACTTTAGTTCCCAGCTGAGGATGAGATTATCCCTCCCTGCCTCAGACCAGGTCTCTGCTGCAGAGCAATCTGCCCACCCCCCCCCTAGCCCTCAGCATTTAACTGTGCTTGATGCTCAATCCCTGCAGACCCTTTCACAAGCTGAATAGTCCCAGCCTCAGTGGTATCTCTTTGCCAGAAGCTGAATCAGACTCTTAGACTCCCATCAGTTCCCAAGTTCTGTGGTATCCTTGCCCAGCTGTCCCAGTTGTCTGGCTCCTGCTCCAGGCAAGGGAGCAGCTTTGCTGATCTGTGACCCTGAAAACCCGAAGCACCTTCCCTGGGGTCATGCAGATGGTTTGGGTCAGATGGGAAGGAAATGTTGACTGTAACCAGGAGGAGATAAACTCGCATGGAGGAGGCACCTTTGGGTGCCCACATGATCAGGAGCACCCACTGCTAGCAGGGAGAGGGCAGGTTGATGCCAAGAGTGGCAGAGGGTCAGCTGCCCGCAGCACAGACAGGGCCTCAGGTTGTGGCTCTTGTTTGCAGTTCACTATGCGAGGCCGGTGATCATCCTGGGGCCGACAAAGGACCGAATTAACGATGACCTCATCTCCGAATTCCCACACAAGTTTGGTTCCTGCGTGCCCCGTAAGTCCCAGCTGGCGCTTGGTGCCCTTGCTAGAGGGAGGGGAGAGCGGTAGCTCTGCTACTTGCAGGGTCTAGCCCACAGTGTGGGGAGGGGGCCAGGAGCATGGGTGGGTTTTCTCCCTCCTAGGAGGTTTCGCACGCGTTGCTCTGGGTTCACTCATGGTGCCTGCTCTCCTCCAGACACTACCAGGCCTCGGCGCGAGAACGAGGTAGACGGACAAGACTACCACTTTGTCGTATCCCGCGAACAGATGGAGAAAGACATCCAGGACAACAAGTTCATAGAGGCTGGGCAGTTCAATGACAATCTCTACGGGACCAGCATTCAGTCAGTGCGAGCAGTGGCAGAGAGGGTGAGTGTTGGGTGGCATTCCTGGGACCGGGACGCATCCAGCCCAAACGCAGACACATTCAGCAGTTCCCCTCCTCGCCCTGTGTTGCTAACGAAGGGCTGTAACCACATTAAGCAAGTGTGGTATGAGCCTCTCCTCCTTCCAGAGTCCTGCCAAGCCACGTGGCTGCTTTTCTCAGCTGCACTACTCCACCTCAGTGTTGTACTTCTGTCACCCAAACTTGACCTGAAAGCCTGGTACTGGTGACACCAGCCTCATGCCCAGGAGCTCCCAGGGCAAAGGTGCCTGGCTGTGTCCTCGAAGCAGCAGCATTTCCTCTGCAGGAGTACTGGAGTGTACAGATGGCTTGTAAATTGTTTTACACATTCAGAGAAAGATTCAGTCCATTTGCATTGCTGCTGTCCTGCCATAAGCAGGCAGGAGCACAAGGCCACTGGGAGTTGGCTTGTGTCTCTGGACTGGTGTTTCACCTCTGTGGCTCCTCTCTTTCATAAGCACATCTGTATGAGCAAGCTGTTTTCTTCATGGAGTAGACTGTGTGGGTAGGTCTGATCCTGATTGTCTCCTTTCCAGGGGAAACACTGCATCCTGGATGTGTCTGGCAATGCTATCAAGAGGTTGCAACAAGCACAACTTTATCCCATTGCCATTTTCATCAAACCAAAATCCATTGAAGCTCTCATGTAAGTGCAACACCATGTTCTGTGCCTCTTCAGGGCAAGCAGCTCTGGCATGTCAGGAGATTGTATGTCTGCTGCGTCAGGTTTTTAGAAAGCAGCAGAGGTTGCTGCTGGGGCTGAGCTTGTTCCTTGTTAAGAGGAGCTGGGGCCATTGCTGTCTCTGTGGTGTCCTGTCACATCTAATGCCATGGTGCATCCAGGCTCCATGGATTGCTCTAGCTTAAAGCCCTTCATTTGCCCCAAAGAGGATTATCCATGGGAAATCTAAAAATGCTCCCAAATGTGCCTGATGTAACCTGCTCAACTGGGCCCTGAGTCCAGCCAGGAGAGCTGCCTACAGCCCGTATCAGTGGATCACAGCTGGATGGTGGCTGAGCCGGGACAGCCCTCGGGAGCAGAGAGGAGATGTTTCCTGTGTGCCTAAGGGAGACCTTCTGCTTGTCCTGCTGCTCCTGGCCCCGGGGAACACAGGCTGGAAAGGATGTGAGAGCTGAGCTTGCAACTCTTCCAAGCAGGGGCAGAGAATATTATCTGTGAGGAGATTCAGTAGCTGGAGATGGACTCTCAGATCATAAGAGGCTCTTCTGGCACAGAGGGGACTGGGAAAACCCCTTCTCAAGCCACAAACTGCTTATTTGGGTGTTGTATGAAGATGAGGGAACCTAGGCAAGGAGGGTGGTGGCAGGCTCTGGAAAAGCAGGGAGACTTCTGCTGTGGTCTTTCAAATTTGGAGGATTGTCTGGATTTGAGTCCCCTTCTGTGCCATGGTGAAAGGGGGAGTGGTGGTGATGGGAAGAACTGTTGGAAGTTGAGATGAAGTGCCAAGACAGCAAAGAACATATGGGGATGGGTCCTGCCTTCGAGAGCTGGGTCCTGCACAGCTTCCATTCCTGGTGTGCAGAGGCTTCCCAGGCAGCCTGGCTCCATGGGCTATTTTTGCTTCTGTTCATTGCTAAGAAAAAGAGCTAAGTTTCTGGTTTTTTGTACATGGCAGGGAGATGAACCGGAGACAGACGTATGAACAGGCCAACAAGGTCTTTGACAAAGCCATGAAACTCGAGCAGGAGTTTGGAGAGTATTTTACAGGTGAGTGTCCTGAGCAGGCTTGTATCTTGATTTATTTTATTTTTCCAGCTGGCAGCTGTGACTTCTCTACCAGCACTGTCTTACTGCAGGGTCATGGGAAAATGTCCAGCTTCATCAAAGCAGAAAAGAAATGGCACTTTGCCAGCAGAGCTCTGCAAACGGACTGCTCCAAGATCAGTGGATAAGAGTAAACCAGGTCTAGAGAAGGAGACAAGTTGTCAGGCAGCATTTTCTGAGTTTGTGAAAGTTTATCACCAACTTTAATAAGAAAAAAATCCCCAGGCAGGGGAAGTGAGCATAGATTCAGGGTGCTACAAGGATACAGGAAATAAAAAAAACTCCCTGCCAAAAAGAGAAAAGAGTAATTTTAAAGAGGAAAGATAAAAAAATTAGTGACCTAAATAGTGGAGACTGCCCTGAGTTATTGCAAAACATCTCCCAAAAAAAGACTGGAAGTTTGGCTGGCTTCCTGAGTAGTCTTTGCTGAAGAGCCAGTCAGGGACTGCCTGGCACTTTGTGCCGGCAGAGATGAGCTGCTCATGGCACACAGAGACATCCTTGTGCATTAAGGAACTAACGTTTGTAACATGATTAATTCTGGAAGATCATGGGCAGGCAGAGACAGAGAAGCTGGTCTGCCATTTTTTCTCCAGTGCAGTAACTGTTTCTTCTAAAGTTGAGTGATAATCCTGCCAAACCCTGTATTACCCACCTAACAGTTACTGGGAAAAATCCCAAGCAGAACATTTTCTAAAAATGGATCTCAGCTGAGTAAATGTAGGGGTACAAACAGAGTGAAAGCTTTCCCCAGACCTCCTGTCCTGAGCAGCAGTTCCAGAGCTGCCAGCTGCTCTTCCAGGAAGAGCGCAAGGGCAGCGTGCACCATGGTTTTGCATGCCTTGGCACACTGTCGCGCACTTGGACGGTGAGTTAGAAGTTGACCTGGGGAAGGAACGCTCCTGGATGAAACCCATTGCTGAAAGAAGTGGGTAATGGGCAGAGAGATGATCACCGTAGCAAGTTCTGTGCAGGAATGAGGGAACACAGAGATGCTGGAGGAGGGACCTGGCTAGGCCACACAGGCAGGCTGAATTACCAGCAGGCTTTGGCCCTCCGTGTGCATCTTCCTGCTCTGATGTAGGAAGCACAGTGAAGTGCTTCGTGTTGTGTCTGTACTAAGCAGCAAGATGCCACTGGTCTTTGGGCAGGAGTCACTACTGGCAGTGACAGCCATAAGCTGGCCTTTTCCAGCCTGACAGTGCTGCGATTCCCAGCCCGCAGCAAAGGAAGCCACAAACACGAGGAGCCCTCAGCACCGACCAGAGGGGATGGACCAACGCGGCCCCTCGGGAGGCACTCGGCCGCTCTGCGCCAGGCCCTCCCCTGCCCCGCGGTGGAGTAGCTGCGTGTCGGGGCCAGCTGCCCGCAGCCTCGGCGCGGTGGCGTGATACAGTTTGCAAAGCTGATTAGCAGCCTGTTGTGGAGAACCCAGACGGCAATTCACACGCGCAGGAGCTCTGCCAGCAGCTCTGGCAGCGCGGGATCAGCTCTCGCTAATCCCCTTGGACACGCTGGGTTAACCCTGTGTGTCATCGTGCGCCTGTTACAGCTCCTTTGACATGGGTTGTCTCGTTCATTAATTGTTGGCTGCGGCACACCAGCCCGTCTGGTGCGGAGTGAAGGCTTTTCCCGTAGCTCGTGGTGGGGAAGGTGCAGCACCGCCTGATGCTCAAGGTCTTGCTTGTTCTCTCCTCTTCCAGCCATCGTACAAGGAGACTCTCTTGAAGAAATTTACAGCAAAATCAAACAGATCATTGAGGACCAGTCTGGGCACTACATCTGGGTCCCGTCCCCAGAGAAACTCTGAAGATGTCCCCCACCTGCTTCCCTGTGAGCAGAAGATCTCTGAAGTCCCACCCCACCCAAGCCCTCTGCCCCAAGGGGGGGGGATATGAAAACTATTCCTGCCCCCTTTTTTAGATCGTCGCAAAATTGAGTTTTCTAGTCCTGTTTCTTTTGTTGGGATGAACTCATCTCATTCATCACGTGACTGTTCCCACCATTCCTGCATGGACCTTCCCACTGCTCCATTAGAGACAGATGAGAACCCATTCAAGGTCGTTTTTTATTATAATTATTATTATTATTATTATTATTATTATTATTATTAACTAAACCAAGAATCAAGATGGGAGGAGGCGACCAAGGACTAATGTTAAGAAACAAGTGAAACAATGGACTCTGAGCACATGAGCTAGTATCAGAGCTCCAGGGGCATTTTTTCCAAGTGTGACTGTCTAGCAGCTCTGAACAGTGCGACAGAAAGGCAGCAGAAAGCATTTTATTTATCTGTATATGTAATTTATATATAATATAGAGAGAGATATTATATATATATTATATATATATATATGTACGTGGACTAGGAAACCTGAGGGACCTCTCTTAAAAGGTATTGTATTATTGCAAGGATCTTTTAGTTTCTCTGTCCCAACCACTGGGCGTAGGGAGTCCACTTGGGCAGGAGGAGCTCAAAACGGTACCAGGTGCTTCAGAAGAGTCTCCCTTCGGGGCCAGCCTCCTGCCAGCCACCCCAGGTCCATGAGGCAGAGCAGACTGGAACGCTGCCTGCAGAAGGGACCAGAGGTCCAGCAAGGAGCAACAGCTGATCTGAGTGAGGCTGGGAGATGGAGACTGAGCAGGAGGCTGCACAGCAAGAGAATGGATGATACTACATATTAAATTGCACATTGTTTTACACACCACCTTATGTGTTTGCATGAGAGGTTTCCTTTTGGTTCTATTTTTTTAATCTGATTTTAAACCAAAACCATATTGTGTTGCTGTGTTGGCTTTTTTTTTTCATTATTCCATTTTTCTCTTGTTAATAATGAACTGAATGGGTATAAAATCCAGTTTTTTAACTTATTTTCTAAGCTGGCTCTATTGTAAATATAATCTAGTTCTGCCGTGTTTAGTTAGGAAATACTCTACTGGCCACATGGAACAAATGAATTCTCTGTCCTGTGTTGCTGTGGAAAACCTGGGACATTGGGCTGGCCCTGTACCTGTGGGCACAGGTGAAACGACCCATTCTGGCTTGCGGCAGCACGTTGGCATTCTCTTCTGCATTAGTCACTGGCAGGAAAAGCCCCCAGCTGTGCCTTGGATGGACGCTCACAATTTTGCAAATCAGTAACAGAATTGAAAAACTTCTTCCCTCTCTTCCCTGCTCTGTGCCAAATTCCTGGCTCTGCTGCATGCAGGTGGTGGTGGTGGTGGCCTTCCCAGGGGCAGGGCCATCCTTTCAGCACAGACCTCGCTGCTGCTCTGGGAGCTGGGGCTTGGCAGGTGAATGTGTGGCCGCCTCGCCTGGTTATGTCTCTGGCATAAATCCTCTTTCTGAAATTGGGCTCTGCTCCCTCTCTCGGGTTCACCTTAGAAATCTGAATTGGGTGCCCTGTGCTTGCAGGATGGTGGGGCAGGGGGATACAGAGCTGCACCCATCTGCTCTACACTGGGATTTTTCAAGTGAGGCAACGGTTGGTGCTGGGACAGTTGGCCCCAAGATGAGAAATGTCTGCCTTTGAGGAGACTTTGGCTGCCACACTTGACTGGGGCTCCATCGTGGGAACAGAGCCTTGTGTGAAGCTGGGGGGGAACTCACCCAGCCTTTCAGAAGGAGCTATGTTGCTGGGTACTCGTAGTACAGGTAGAAGAGTGCTCCCACCTTACAAAGAACTGGTGAACGCTGGTTTTGAGACAGTGTCAAGCACCAGAACAAAGGAGGTTGCTGCACGAGCGCGAGCAGGTAAGTCTTGGCCCGTTCTCCCTCCCCCTGTTCCATAGGGATAAGTGAACGTGCGGGGTGCCGGTCCCCTTTCCTGAAGGTAACAGTTATTAGTCTGTCAGTCGGTGCACGGTGTGCACAAGCCAGAGTTTTCAGTGTAAACGAGGGCTGCTGTAAGACTGTACATGTATTGTCTGGTGAGAAGCTGTCTTTACTCGTCCTGCATCACAAGGAGCCCTGCAGGGACCGAGCAGCTTCCCGGGACAGAAAGCAGTGCGGCAGAAGAGATGCGGCCGCTAGCATGGTGGAGGGCAGGAGGACTCTGCTGTCAGTGGGACCGACCCTAAAGGAGCAGACTTTGGCAATGGATTCCTGTTCAGCATCAAGCCCCCTGCCCTGCTGGTCCTGCTCCAGCTGCTATAAACATCGGTCCCTGGAGAAGTGGAGTAAGTGAAACAAAAGTCTTAAGATGCTAGTCACGCCATTCCTGTCTTTTTTTTTTTCTTTTTTTTCTTTTTTTTTTTTTTCCTAATAGCCTGTCTCCCTCTCATCAAGTCACGTGGAGAAAAAGATGATGTACTCCATGGCATAGCTGACAGTATCAAATCGATCATGACAACACTAGTTGGTTACCAGTGTTTCTTCCAAGGAGACATATATTTTTAATAAACAGAGAGTTGCAAAGAACTGTCTTTGAGACCTTCTTGTAGAGTCCTTCATTGTGTGCCAGATCTGGGTTTTTTGGTGCTGATCTAAGCAACTATTGATAGTCTCTCCACAGCAAACTTAAGTGTTCACAGTGGTTTCAAGTTTGCTTCTTTTGGTATAAGGTGGTCACTGAGAATTGCGTAAAAGAAAAAGGAAATTTTAAAAAAAGAAAGGAAGTGGGCTTATTTACAGCTGTAACCACGCCACTAAAAAGCAACACAGTTTGACTCTGGTCTGATAACACCATAAATGTATTTTGGGTAACGGCTTGAATTGTGGGGAGTTTGCTTTACAGATGCAGCTCAAGTAACAGGGTTTATATGCTGGTACATAATTGTTCCTGTATTGGAAATAAGGGCAGCAAAGTAGTCCAGCTAAGACAGAGCATCTTTTTACAGTTTAACATGCTGTTTAGACATCAGAGAGAAGAAGAAAGAAGTTGTAAAGACAACTAGTATCTATTCCTAGTAACTTTAAGTGCAGAGAACATGAGTGTTCACTGGAAGACGAATGTGGTTAATGGAGTATCATACTTTCCTGCCTGAATCTGCTTTTGAAAGGTGAGAGGGTTTTGGTTTTTAAATCTTTTGGTTTTCCTTTTAAATTGTATGCATGAGAAATGAGATTTCAGGGGAACAGGCGTGTTGTACTGAGCACAGGCGTACAGTTTGCAGTTAGTTCACCGTTTATGAAAGTCATTGGAGAAATAAAAAGCAGTTTAGAAACTCCTTTAACTGATCAGGTCAACAGTCTTGTGGTGGTGGTTGTCCATAAAACACTGGAAGATGAAACAGTTGCTAAGCAGATCTGATGCTAGCATTACCACTCCCAAAAATCAAACTGTTTACATACATAGTGCCAGATTTGGAATGATGCAATAGTTGATGTGAAGCATCCCAGGAACACTGTCCATTAACAGCTGCCATGGTAGCTGCCAGGTTTCTCTGTCTGGTCCACAGAGTTAGCTCTGGTAACTGAGTTGCAGGATGTGGATCTGCAGACACTCCTGCCTAGATCCAGGATGTGTCCTGGGCTGATGTGCCATCTTGATCTGATCCAACAATGAAATGTTAAGGTTCCAGTGGGGAGAGGGACATGGCATCATGTTCTCAACATGCTGCTCCTGTAAGGAGGAGACAACCACTAGAAGAGTAACCCACATTCTAAGAGAATGAGGATGGCATGAAGGGAACTAACTGGCTCTTTTGAAGCTTTTTAACAAGCTATTTTTCTGGCCAAGGACAAATTGGTCTTCCTGCCAGGACCTTACGGAAGTCCTTCTGGAGCATTCAACAGCAGTGTTGTCCTATCACTGGTCCTGTCTCACTGTGATATGGGGTGGGGGGGTATTCTTTTCTCTGCCAAGATGTCCTGCTACAGATGTCTGCAACAGGCATGAAACTAATCTGCCATAAGACACTTCTGGAAAATTAGACCATAAGCTGCTTGTGCTATAGAGAAACATGTCTGTGCTTCTGTCTGCAGCTCTGGTTAATTAACTGTCTTGGCCCTTGTTAAGCAGAACAACACAGGAGCTCTGAGGCTACTGGAAGAGGGGTTGAAAGGAATTTCATACTAGGTGTCTCAAAAATTTTTTCCCTATTGGTGCCTGAGATGGAGGCACCTGGACAGCTGTCTTAGATACAGCTTTTCTTGCTAATGATGCCTGGCAGCATAACCTTCAAGGACTGTTATCCTCTGCTTTCCTCAAGCTGTCACAGCAGGATTCATGGCGCTGAAGCATCTGCTGTGAAGCAGGTAAAGTTACCATCTTGTTCAAGGTGTCTCTTTCCTTAAAGAAGCCTTAGGTAACCCCTGACCTTTAGTGTTTATTTATATCCCTTGCCTCCAAGATGAGAGCTGTGTTGTTTTAGGGTTTTTTAGCCGTAAGGAAAACCAAGTAGTTTGGGTCAGTCAGTGTAGCATCTGTTAATGGGACAAGCCCCCAGGAGCACTGTGGGACTAATACCTTGTTGGGGCCACGCTTGGCTCACCACAGGGGTGACGGTGGAATTCCATCCCTTAGTTCCAGTGGCTGCTTGACAAAAGCTTCAGCCTAGTCCTCTAATGAGCTTCAGCCCTCTTCCAATTAGCTTGATTTCTGATTACTGGGAGCACTTCAGCTCCTAAGTGCTAGTGGCCAGACCAGCCCCTCTTCCTCAGTGCAGCCGGGACTTAACAGCAGCGAAGCTCTTCTCAAGCTGTATGCTGGGAGGTAGCCTGAGGCGCACCTGAAACAAAGCTGCTGGAGAGCCAGCGCTCCTCTGGGCGAGGGGAGGCAGAAGGGGCTCCGGGGCACTCTCTTCTCTGCCCTGCCCCACTCCCAGACTCTTCTCAGCAAGGACTTCCCCCCCCCCCCCCCAACAAAACA